AATCACATTGTCAGAGTTATACCACGTGATGGTACCATCACCGTTACTCTTAGGCTCTGCAAGATGTACGAGGCCTCCGTCCATAACTCTCTGTTAATCTGACTCGAGAAATAGCGAGCAGGGGGTGAGCAGTGACGAGCATAACCCCCCCCTCCCCAATCCACATTAAGCGTAAATTTTGTAAAGAAATGATTAATAAATAATGTTGACAAAGTTGATTAGTCCTTAAGGTAATTATTACTTTGTTCTCTAGTTTTACATTTTAACGCTTATGTTAGTCCTGCAAAGATATCTGCACGAAACTTAATGCAGCACTTTGGGACAGGTGGTTTTCTGATTAGCTACGAGATTTAAGTTCCAGTTCTAGAGGCATGTATCGATAAGTTTTATCCCTTAATTTATGAACTTGGAAGAATTAATCCTATAATGTTGTGGTTTCACTCACTCACTCATTCATGGAACTGAGCCCTTCTGGAGGAGCTGCCAACTGTGCATCTACTCAAGAATTTCCCAGAATTCTATGGAACCCGAAGGTTCATTGTCGTGTTCACAAGAACATTCCACTGGTCTCTATCCTGAGCCAGATCAATCCAATCCATACCATCCCATTCTATCTCTCAAAGATCCATTTTAATATTGTTCACCCAGCTACGTCTTGTTCTTCCTAGTGGTCTCCTTCCTTCTGGCTTTCCCACCAATATATATGCATCCCTCTTCTCCGCCATTCGTGCTACATTCCCCGCCCATCTCACCCTCCTTAACTTGATCATTCTAATTATACTTGGAGAAGGGTACAAGTTATGAAGCTCCTCATTATGTAATTTTCTTCAACCTCCTGTCACTTCATCTCTCTACGGTCCAAATATTCTCCTCAACACCCTGTTCTCAAACAGCCTCAGTCTATGTTCCTCCCTAAAATCAGAGACCAGATTTAACACCCATACAGAACCACGGGCAAAATTATAGTTCTGTATTTTCTAATATTTATGTTTTTATACAGAAGACGAAAATACAAAAGGTTCTGGACTGGATGGCAGAAAGCCTTATCCTAGTTCAGTCTCCTCTAATTTCCTCCTGAATCAAGTTTTGATTTGTTATCATCGTTCCCAAATATCTGAACTGTGCCACGTTTTAAAAAAAAATCTGTCGGTTATCTCTGTGTCATGATTATGCCCTGAATTTTGGTGATGAGACAGCAACATGTACTTAGTCTTAATGTTGTGGTTTATAATATAAAATTAACAGTTAAACTTTTAAGGTTACAAACACGGTCTATAAACATAAAAATACTCAAAGTTACTAGGAGAGCTGCGGGAAAAAGAACAGTTACAGTGTACGTTGTAGCACATACAAAATTGCATTCCTATATGTTTCATTGCCATGCACGTAGAAAGCCAGCAGCAGTCACACAGGATTCTTTGGGTACAATGTAACCAGCAACAAACTTAAGTGAAATAAACATTTAGGAAAGAAATTTGTTAATGAAGAAATTAAATTAAAGTTTTAACATGTAGGTAAAGGTAAAGCTATCCCTGTAACAGGCCGTGAAATCACATAGGGTAGACGTAGAGGATCCCACATTTTCTGGACAATCGGCTCAGAGACGGTGGTAAGGTTGTCAGCCTTACGCGCCGGTGCTCTTTACCCCAGGAAGATTTCTGGTACTCATTTCTGTTAGAGGTTGAGTCGACCCCAGGGCCATAGTGCGGCTGGAACGATTAGGTCAATTGAAAAAATCCACCTCTTCGGGACTCGAACCCGCAACCTCCTGCTTGTAGTATTGTGTCTCAACCAACTACGCTACCGCGTGCCACCTTTAACATATAGAGATAGCAAATATTAATACATACGAAATAATAGTCGACAGCGAAGTAAAGGTTATAAGAAATACTAATATTGAAGAATGCTGAGTAAATGTGAGATCAACGGTGCAAGATGCGGCGAAGTTATCATAAGCTGATCCACCTGACAATTCTTACTTGGACATAGTAGAGTTTCTCTACTTGGGTGTAACAGCACTACTGTTCATGACATTTGTGTGGGTAATGCTTCTGCTTTGTATTTTAAAAAATTTGGGTTCAATTCTCGGACCCGGACTAGAGATATCCTAGCTGAGACCTTTCTTGGTTTTACTCGAGCCTTCCAGACAAGTTCTAGGAGAGTACTTGGANCGAAGTACTCGGAGAAAATCCGCCCCAGCGCCACTTTGTCCGCCACAAATCCCACTTGACCAGACACCGGGATCGAACTNCCAGTCGACACTAAATTATTTAAACTATCAATGACGCCGCTAAACAAACCGCAGCTATGTACACTAATGTTGGCAGTTTCGCGGGTTTGGAGCGCAGATNCTTTGTTTATAACGGGGTACTAATACCGTCTCTTTATATGCTTATAGCCTGTGACCTGCTACATTTTCGCTATTCCGTTAATTATAAAACTATTGTCGATCACGCAAAAAGACATTGAAAATTTGTGCTTTATTTTCAGTACATATGTTAGCCGATCGCAGTGGCTTTGCAGTCTAGGGCATGAACCGTCTTCGAGTGCTTTAACATTGGGATCATGGGTTCTAATCCCTCTAGATGCATCGATGTCTGTGTGCCNATATTATTATATATTTTTTAAGAAAATAAAATAAATTTTACAATAAAAATTTTGAATCTTTTACTGTGTATTTTAGCGATGAGTCTGATATTAAACAAGATGTGTGATCTACAGTCAGAAGACATAAAAAGTAGTGAGTGATACGGAATAATATACACATTCAATATGGCGATATAAATGCAATGTTTCCGAATGAGTGTGAATATTCAGAGGACAAGAAATGATTGCTGTTGCTAACACTAGTTGTGAGCGACTATGGACTGTAATATCTGTTGAGATTAAGGAGCAGATGGAAGAGCGTGTCCACACTAACAGAATAAGCTTCAACGAAATTGAAGGAATTTTTTTTTAGAAGCAACATCAAGGAACATTTTATTATGATTGAATTAGGAAGTAGTATAGCATTGAACGATACAGTCCCACTGAGAGGCAGTCCGATTATTTCAACAAAACGATTTACTGACTTGTCCTCACCAAATACAATTAATGACTAAGTCAAGGAGGTTAAGATAGGACGGGTGTGTAGCACGATTTGGGAGAAGGTGAATACATACAAGATTTCAGTTGGAAAGCCAGAAGGATAGAGCCAATTGGGAAGAACTAGACGTAGATGGGAGGATAATATTAACATGGATCTTGCAGAAGTGAGATAAGGTAGTATGGACTGGGTTGATCTGGTTCAGCATAGGGACGTGGAGGGACTTATGAGCACGATACTGAACCTTCGGGTTCCATGAAATGTTGGGAAGCTGAAGCAATTGCGAGTTCCCAGGAAGCTCCGAGCGCCGTGCAATTAGTTTTAGTTTAGTTACGTAACGGCTGTAGGACTTTCCTTTTTGTCGGATCTTGTAATAAATTGCATTTACTGTTGGATTTATAGTGTAATTCTAATGATGTAGGTACAGATACTAAGAAGAACGGACGAACGCAAACTGAACCGTGTCGCAGCCATTTCCCTACATGCTTTTTCCTACGTCTTGGCGGGCGCAGTGCTTGTAGTTGTTTCTTCACTGAACCTGCTTTAATAACTTTATATACTTTATTTCCGCAGCACAGTATAATTAAGACAGTACATACGACATACGATGCCATCTTCGTGTTGGGGGTAGAGTGTAGNAACCTCTGCCTTTTGTAGCGGGATGGGGGGTGGAGTCCAGCTGGGTGCACTCGGCACGGCGGCCACTGATTGGCCTATAGTAGCCTGCCACGGGTGATTATGATAACGGAGCATTTGGTGGAATAAAGATTGGCAGGGGAAACCGAAGTACTCGGAGAAAATCCGCCCCAGCGCCACTTTGTCCGCCACAAATCCCACTTGACCAGACACCGGGATCGA